AACTCCTGCAGAACAACAAACTATTACTTTGGTTATGACAAAGGCAGACTGATTAAAAAGTGGAAAAGATGACCATTATCAACAATCTCTTTTGCACAGTGGTATGCACAGGACTGACTGGCGTTAGCTGTTCTAATATGCATGTTCTATTTTTATTAATTGCTGTAGTATTTTATACACTAAACTAGAATTCTGCCATCGGACTAGACATCCTTCCCTTATCCAATCTGCACCAGCAGCCTGAGAAGGAACTTTATTTTTAAGAAAAATATAAGTGTGCAAACCCAAACACAACTGACAACATTTTAATCGGTCAACATTACCAACTCAAGCAATTAAGAAATAAGATGGGATATACATCTACTTTTCATTTCTCTTTCTAGAAACATTCTTAAGGCCCATTTCCCAACACAGCTTATGTAGACTGAGTGTAGAACTTCTTAACATTTAAAAGCAATTTATCTTCTAACAGGCTTCATATTTCCCCATTACAATTGCCACCAACTAATGTGCGGTTGCCATGACCAAGGTATGGTTTGATTTATCCTGTTTCTGCCTGAACGTCTATGACTGATTCTAGAATAGCAGATCAATTGATTTTCATCTGGATCACAGTGCTGATCTTGTCATGCCCAAATTCACAGAACAAAACTGGTACAATACTATTTACTATAGTAACTGATAACTGTGCATGCATACAAATATATTAAAACCAAACACCACTGAGGTAAGACATAAGGGAAACAAAAGTCTGAGTACCACAAGACCGAGTTATATTGACTTCTAAAGCCTATAGCCTTTGGGAAAATACAGCTGGCCCATGCAGTTCCAGCAAATAGTTAGTCTAGAAAAGCTGTCAAAATAAGAACATATACTTGTTTCAAAAAAGTGTAGTTTGAATAGACAGAGTCTGAAGTATGTATTAGTAATAAACCTAATCTGATGACAGTTTTTCTTAAAGTGAAACCAAATAAACACATTGCAAGGGAAGTAAAGCAATACATTATTGGTTCTTTTGGTTTCAGATGTTAGCATCACATTTCCTTCTTCAGGCATATACAAAATGGGGCTGTATTGATATTGATCTCTAAGTTCTGTTGTCAGTCAGACACCACTAAACGTGATACAAATCCCTCCTATAAAATAGAAAATGCACTTTCATCCACATGTTAAGGAGAACTCCCATCCTTGATCTCTGTAATCTGACTTGCTACTGCATGTATGTATAGAGTAAGATGAGCTCACCCATCTTGACACCATAAGCAATCTACAGGCTACTCTGTGGCACAATGTTCAGGTCAAAGGCTATTTTCAAATCTGACCAGTCACCAAATGATCAGTAAGATCTTCATCATCTAGATGAAGAAGCTATTGCTTGTAAACTACCATTCATAGAAAGAGTCTATGGTATCATTAAAAGCAACTCAGAAGAGTACATGCAACTCTGGAAGCTTATCCAGAGAGAAAGTTTCATCAGGAGAGAGAATGACGCTTGTTCTAAGGCACCTGTAAAAGATAACAAGAGAGGGATGGAATGAAAGAAGCCACTAGGGGAAAAGCAAGCTAGAAAATAACAAATGAAGACTGAACAATAAAAATAAAAACAAGGGTAAGAGTTATTCTCGATTACAGTGTACAAAGAAACAAACCACCAGCTAGCATTTTGGATATTTTTCTAAAAAGCCATCAATCCTTCCATGAATGCACACGCATCATCACAATGCCCCTATGTCCTCACAGAACTTTAAATCCAAGGATTATTCATGTACTGCTCACATCTCCTGCCATCCATATACCATATTACTTTCACTCCAGTATGTCTCCAAAAACACGTTGTAATAAATAATACATAAGTAATCATCCCACAGTGTATTTTTTCCTCTCCAGCTAGAGAAAAAGAATAGGGCTATGTGATGAGGCTGTTGTGCACTACTAAATTATTTATGTACCAAAGTTTCAATGGCCTTATCTCACGTGTTACTAGAATGAAAATCATAGCATTCTAAACCTTTCTTCTGTTCTGAATTGGAGCAATAACACTACTGTATTATCTGGCTATATTTCTGGTTGGCCAGATTGCTGTCTACCTGTTCCTTCCTATAGGGAGAGAAGAAACAATTCAATAAACAATAGGTTATGCTTTGGATATATAATGAAGATTAATGCAAGGAACTTGATCTGCAACTAGTACTTTTCCATCTGCAAATAAGAAAGCAGAAGTTGACCGGGAAACAGTTATAAGGGTAAGATAATAATAATTTAAAAAATGTCATAAAAATAGTGTATAACCTAGATCAACTATTAGTCACTTTTCTTTGAAGTTAGCCCTGCTCCTGCAAATATTAAAAGGAAGATATAATACTCCAGACTACTCTTTGCTTAAATGATAAATTAAGTATCCTCTGGATATGCATGAATCCACATGTAAAGAAGAGGGGGCAGGTTGTGAAAACTGAGAGGCTACAAACTGTACATTATGTGTGTTTTGTTGAACTCCTTTAAGAACTGATTCACACAATGTTTCCTGTACTAAATCAAAATTGCTGTGCAAATCAATTAATGAACAGTTAAACATGTTCTGTCTCAGAGGACAAACTGACATTAAGAAGACTCCTGCTTCAAAGGCTGGATACAAGGTATTCAAAATACGTATTTCTTTATAACTGTTGAAGCTGCAAAGGACCTTTGGAGGCCTTCTTGTCTAACAACCCTGCTCAAGCAGGATCACCTACAGCGTATTGTCCAGGACCATGTCTAGATGCCTTCTGAACATCTCCAAGGATGGAGATTCCATCTGTGCACTCCATTATCTGTGAACAGTCTGTCTGCAATGTCAGTCACCCAGCTCACAGAGCAAAATCAAGCAAGATTTGACTGCAGTAATACTGCACATCTCTCAGCAGAAGCAGCTTTCAAACAACGCATTATTTTAGTGGACTGCTCCAGCTAGGTAATAAATTTTGAATTTTTTTAAATTCTGAAGAATTGTTAGATGTTCTGAATTCATTAAAAGGTAAACTATCATATTCATCCATCAGACGTAAACCTTAACAGATTGTTTGGCTAGTAAGTGTTGCTGGGCATGTTACGGGATCTGAAGATACATTTGTACCAAACCAGTTAGTAAATACTGAGGCAGAATCTCTGATGGAAACATGAGTCCTCCCTGTTGGTAGTGGTTTGGGTGTGGAAAACTAAGCGTGAAGGGAAAGCAGAGCTGCTGCCCAAGAGTCAATGCACACTGTTTTCAGAATAATCTGAGAAGTAGTGTTGTTGCAGCAGTTCAACCGTAAATTCCCTGTAACCGCTTGCTGTATTCCCTTATCCTTCATCTGAGTGGAAAGAAAAATGGTGGTACTAGTGGGACATCTTATAACCATGCAGGCACTTTTTGTCCCATAGTCTACACCGAATGACACATGTTCATAAACTGGCCTTGCGGTAAGTTGGCTTCTCTGTAAATATAGTAAATGAAGTGGTTCAATAACTCAGAATTTAAAAATGTCAATAGACTACAAGACTGAAAGAGGTCTTTCACCTACTAGATCGAAGGAAAAACAAATGCATTTAATTCATAGAACCGACTCCATGATATGTATTATCAAAGTTAGTTCTCATTTTCTAACAGCATATATTATCTAAAAACATACACAAATATACAGACTTTAAATAGTGGAACCAATTTGGGTTTCCCTCTTTTGGATTTTCCCTGTGTGCTTTCTTTAATCAGGACCTTAGACCGGTATGTTCCTATTGTACAACAATGATCAGGTAAAAATGACTGCAGTCCCCCTTCCTACGCTTCATAAAATCGTCATGAAAATACTAGCTATTACTAGCTGTTTCTGCATACATACACCATCTAGTGTCTAGTACAGTCCTGTAGAAAAATATATGCAAAGTACAAATCTACGGTCTAATATCATTATCTGAATAATGACACTATCTGAAAATACTTTAAAATAAACTTTCACATTAGCAATGTTTAATTGCTTGTGAAACACACTTTACACTTCACAATGTGTTTATTGTAAAAGTAGTTGTCCACGTACAAAAACTCACTACTAAACACAAACTTTGGCTAAAGACACAATTCTTCACCTTTAAAATGAATGTATCAAATTATTATTTTTTCAAGGCAGATGAAAGCAAAGATTCAGTCAAGGTGACAATTACCATCTGGCTAGCTATGGTAAATATGTGCTCCCAATTACACGCACATGCAATATTATACCATTAGCATTATGGTGTGTGTTAATACGGAAAATCACCATATTTGTATACCACTAGAGGTATTAAAGTTACGTATGTGACTGTCTGCTTTGAAATCTGTTAATGCAGAAGATAAAGATGAATAAATCTGTTAACAGCATCTGTGAGCTAAATTCCCTTTTACTGCCTCTTCATAACGGATGCTACCATTTATGCTACTTTTCTCTTTCCTCCACAACCTTCTCTTCTCTCATCTGGGGACTGACCACTTGTTTGAGTGCTTGCTGGGAGTACAGCTAAGGACAGAATTAAAGTCAGTTCAGACTTGCACTCTCACAAGTACATAACAAGTTATAGATTGCATACAGGATGCAGAATACAGTGCAGCAGGATGAATATAGAACCAACCATGCCTTGAAAACTGCTAAAGGAAGCAGTGTGATATCTGAACACTCCAGAGTACTCCTGTGAATACATTTATAAAGCTGTAAGAAAACCAAGAACAGTGTCCAGTTTAGTTCTTTTTCTGGGATCTAAATCTTGTGAAATTTAATTTTCAAGTTACTGAAATTCAAAGCAATACAATTGCTTACAAACATGTTTGACTAAATATTTTCAGAAAGTTCCTTCAAAACAAACTTGTAAAATTCTAGTCTTTTGACTTCTATGGGACTACTCCACGCTATGAACAAAACCAGACATCAGCAGACTTTTTGTCACCCAATTCAATCGAAGCAGGAGCAGGCACCATACAGAAATTAATGTTCAACTTTAGTAAGACCAATGTTTCACTTAAAAGATGTTATTAAAATACTATTACCTCCAGCAAGGATCTTCTCTTCCATATCATTCATTTGTTTCTTGTACGCTTTTAAAGCAGCTTCTTTAAATGATGGTCGTATTCTTTTTTTCTTTGGGGTTTCAACAAGCACCTCGGGGACATTCTGATTTTCATCTTCCCTTACTTCTATGTCAGCAGCCACATCCCTTTCAACTTCCAATATCTCTCCACTGACCACACTGTCAAACTGAATGTCATATTGTTCCTCTGGTAGTATGGCATATGGGGTTTCATACGAAGGCTGCCCCAGTTCATAGTCCTGGACCTGCTCACTAGTTTCACTACTATTAGTTCTATTTTCTAGTTTAGCAAGGACTTGTTCCATTACTTCTACATAGTCTGTTTCGTTCTCACCAGGTGGTTCAACCAAGTCCTCCTCATACTCTGCTTTGTAGCAATAAGGCTCGGCATAAACATCAGAATCGAGTGTTGTACTCGACTCATTCGCAGTAGACTGAGATAAAGTTCTAAACCTTCCCATGAAAGATGATCCGCTGTCTTCATACCCACTTAAACTTTGTGTGCTTTTATTCCAGACTACTTCTAAAGCTGACTTCGCGCGTTGAAGTGTAGATCCAAATTTAGGAAAGCTGAAAGTCTTATCAGAAAGATCTATGCTTAATCGGCTGTGCCACGACTTAGGGGCTGTTTCTTCCGAGTCATCGCTTGGGAGTTCGCTCTGACTGCGGTACATCATAGGCAATCTGTTTTGATTCTGATAGGAAGAGATAGAATTTGTTTCCTGATATTCATCATATTGACCAGTCCACTGACTTTGTGATTCACTATCAAGGCCTGGACATGATGGAGAAGTACCATCAAGGGTAAAATCATAGCTTTCAGTATCATACTGGAGGTCAGAACTTTGGCACTTCCCAAAATCTGTCTGTTGATCTGAAGGACTGCTCATATCATACACAAAAACCTCCTGTGTGGATGAGTCTAGGCCCAAATCTTCCCCTTGTTTCAACTGATTCCAGTCCTTCCATGGGGAAAGATCATCATGTAAAGAAAGCTGAGAATCACTATAGCGGCTTCTGTCTCCAGATGCACATATTATTCCATTGCTTAATCCACTGTCAGCAGTTTCTGTGTTCTCTACGTCATTTTGCTCTGGATACTCTTGCATATCTTGGACAAAGGTCTGATCCTGGGAACTGCCATACCAGTTCGTAGCATCATCTTGCTTTCGCTGCCAAAGTTCTCGATCAGAGGAAGACAACAGTGAACTGCCATTTGTTCTGCTAAAATACTGATTTTCTGAAAAATCCTCAGAGTAAGACTGACACAATTTTGAGAAATCCGACTCTGAACGGCTAAGTTTCGGCGTTGCAAAGTCATTCTGTAAATGCCACAGAGGAGTCATGTCTGAATAATAGGTCTTTGATTGTTTTTCCAAGTTGTCAAATTCTGGTGACTGGTTGTCATAATTTCCTCTGTTTGAAAAGGTGCTGCTGTCAGCAGTTCTATTAAGGTCTGTCATATCTGGGGACTTGATACTTCCCTTTGTAGTGCTTGTTTTTATTTGAAGTGCAGATTTAGATATCTTTGCATAACTGTTCTTATTTATATCTGATTCCAAGTCTTTATCACTGTCAGGTGACTCCCAGTCATGCATTTTAGTTTTTGTCTCCACAGTTAAAAGTTTCATATCCATGCTCTCATATGTCTGAGAGGAAGGTAGCCCTCTTTCTTTTTTGTCTTTTATGTCATGGGAAAAGATATCTGTAGAAATTCCAATGCCAGTTCCCTTAAGTTTATAAGACTTTTTTAAAATCAGATCTCTCTGCTGTGATGACTCGAAGTAAACAAGAATTGGTCTCGGCTTTGCATTTGGACAGTCTCTTTGCTGCCCCAGTCTTTGGGCAAACTCAATTTTTATAGTGCTTTGTGCCTCCGAGAACCCCATTTTATCTATTAATATTTTGTAAACTGTGCTTTCAGTTGTTTCAAGTCTCTCTTCAGGCACATTTAGAAACCTAAGACTTGCTTTGTTTCCTGGATGCCCTATCTGCTTAATGTAGTCGTGTATGTCCCGCGTTTCTCTTCTAGACTGCACAAATCCAGTTCGCAATTGTTCGATTTCATTTTGTACAACTTCTACACTACTAGAAATTTCATCGATGGATTGTTTCAGAGCATTAACGTGTCCTCTTAATTCAGAAAGTTCTGTTTCAATTTGACTTATTCCCTGAAGCTCTTTAAAGATCATTTCCATAACATCATGGGTCTGACTGATGCAACTCGTTGAGCTAAAGCCAGGTTCAAGAGTATTTGATTTCTGGTGACGGCCAGTTCTGTCTAGAGATTTACTTCTTAAGCCCCATGTTTTCCTCCACGCACTTAGTTCTGAGTCTGATGAGACACATTCTTGACTCTTCTTCCATTTCCTTAGTTTTCGTAAAGCTCCCAGCTTCAGCGTGTGTAAAGTACGCTCTCCGTCAGAACTTCCATCAGATGGTGCAAGGCTGCTCAAGCTTTTTCTGTTGCGTCTCACAGGCATCGTGTGTGATAAGTATTCGTTTTTCTTGCTGTTACTTTTTACTTCACTTAATGACTCAGAATATGAACTATCATTTGAAGACAGATCTTGAACGATATCTTCGTTATTATTGTTTGTTACAAAAACATGCTTCTGCAGTCCATTTGCAATAGCAACTCTGTAACTGAATGTTGGAGAAAGGGAAAATTCCTTGTTACTTTCCTCTTCTTCAGTTGATAAGTTGCGAGCAGATGGACACTTGGCAATCTTTTTAACAGTGCTTTTTAAGGTATTAGAAAATTTTGGATTCTTTGTTTGTCCAATCTGAGTTAAATCTTGTTCCTTTTTGCTCTGACAACTCTCTTTCCTTTTTGTACTGTTTCCCGATTTCTTTGTAAACATTCCTTTGCAAATCTTATATATGTAAGATGAGATCAGGCTCCTTAAGAGGGCAGAAACCATGGAGTGTAATTTATATTGAGCTGTTTCCAGAAAACACAATTTTTGATGCAGCCAAGTATTTGTATGTCCAACGGGTTCATCAGCAAATATTTAATCAACAGAGACTACAGACAGAAACTATTGATGGTCTGGTATAATTCGACAGAAAAAACCCTAAATAATCACACATCTGCTTGTTCAAAACCAAATCCTGGAGTTTTGTATGTCTTGCAAAATCTCACTCTGTTGCACATAGCTTCTTGAAGAGTCTAAAAAGGAGGGAATGACATTATAACGGCTGCCAACCAAACTAATTATTCAATAGAACTGATGTTGTTTTAACTGGGTTACAGTGGAAACACAGAACAATTAAGTATTTATTTCTATTTTCCCCATAATTGAATATAATTTTTCATGACCAATTGAAACTGAAAGCAGTTACAAGCAAATCTTTTTACCATAAAGAAACTATACTTATTTACAGACTTCTTTGTCCAGTTTAATTCTTTAACTGAGATATTTAGTATCAACGTTGTCTGCTTTCTTTCAGAGTAATGACATTTCAATTTAGATCCATATAATATACAGCAGTGGTCAAAAGTCAGGCGAACAAGTTGTTACTAGCCAGTAAAACAGAAAATAACAGAAAATCAAAATGAAAACTGATGGAACATTCTCATCCAGGTTACTGAATTTTACATTTTTCTGGTCACAGGGAAAACAAAACAAACAACAACATCAAACCAACTAAAAAAGCCCCAACCCTACAAAAAACAAGAGGAAAAGGGAGAAACATACGATTGACAAGTCTTAGGACAAAACCGGGTGCCATTACAACAGGAAAGCAATTTGATGTAAAATATGGAGGAGTAACAAAAGATTTCATGAGGTATCTGGAAGCTTCTATTCCATAAAACAAAAGCTTGTACTCCACAGAAATGTAGTCAATGCATTTTAGATAGAAAAATGTACTTTTTTATACAGCATATCAGTCACCTCCCGGTCTCACAGCTGCAGAATAAAATCAAGACTAATAGCTCAGAAAAATCCAACAAAGTCAAAACAGCCATTTCAGTTTCTAAAGCAGCTCAGAATTCTTTGGCACAATAAGAAGTTTATTTAGACACAGAGTATACGAAGGGTTAAAACCTTCTCTGTGGTGACTTAAGGATATGAACTCTCCTCTTTGACTGCAAACTGCATGGCACTATATGAAACATCATGGTCCCCTCACACACTTGAAGACCTGATTTTTTTATTACACAGTGTGTCTTCGTTGACCTTATTATTATACTTACGTTATGGTCAATAATACACACTAACTACTGATTCATACTGCAGCAGGAAAATGCACCATGTTGGACAGAGCCCAAGCAAAGCTGGTAAAAGCCTGGTAGGCTTCTGGAATCCTGGCACAGAAGATGTAAATAGACTTATTTCTTTTCCAGTTACAAGAAAACCCTGGGATACAGCACAAAAGTGAGCAGAACAAGAACAGACGATGTTCTTCATCCTTCCTGAAGTTGCTGCCTGTTATTTGAAAAAAGGTGAAGTATTTGTGAAACATGAATTACGTTTTTAACATACGTGCATCAGCATAGCTCTTGTGACTTCTTTTTCTTCCAGGCTTATATCTGAAGTCAGGGTGTTAAGAATGAAATAAAAGCAAGTAAAGTCTGGAAGCAAAAGAATGCTCAATGAGACTGGATGTGATTTTCAAGGCATGCAAATGCCATCTCTCAGAATATTACAGAGCTCTCACTAGAGCCAAGGCTGTCTTGGTTTCACATATTACTGGTAGAGGAACGAACCATCCTGGGATGCTTTTCAATATCAAAGGCATGTTTCTAGATGTAGAAACACTTGTTAACCATTCAGCTCTTACAGTGAATGTTTGTAACCTTTTCCTGAACAAAACTTAAAGCGTGACTGCCTGCCTCCTCTGCCCACACAACCACAGGTTCTTAGTGTCCTTTTCTACAAACTGCACTCAAATGACCTGAACATTCTTCTAACTGCAAAGATTTCAAACCAACAATGTATAAACAAGCTGGAAGGCTTCTTTATTGGCTTAGGCTACAAAACATCAAGAAATAATGAAGCTATTATTGGAATCTGGAACATTTTCATTCATTTTTAAAAAAATGTTTCATTCTTCTATGTAGAATAATCTTGATTTAATGTCTATTTTATCCAATGCCTAACCTATGCTCTTTATCAGAGATAAAGTATTATAAATAGCTACAAATTCAGTACTCAGTTTAAATAAACTCAGTTTCTGACAACGTCACAGTAAATTAAAAGTTGCACTGTCACAAACACAAACAGATCTGCTAAATGGAGCAGATTTATGTTCTGTCATGCGAGTTCCATGCTATATTGGTCGTGTGATCTGGTCAGCAGTTTACAGCCCACCATTGCTCTGTCATATACTTCTTTTCTAAAGTTGTACATCTACCCATGGAATCCAGTTTGAGTCATTATAGGTTACATCCGTTTCTTACCGTAAAGATACGCATTGGGTCGTTCTTACCATTTCAAATGAGTATAGGTGAAAATTCTAGGAAATAAGGAACAGTCTTTCGAGAAGCACATAGGACTAAGTCAATTATTTGAATGAGCTGCAAGTTGTCATTCAGTGGTTTTCTGGATTTATCCAGGTTTCCCAATGAATCACCATGATCCTAGTTTTTATTTTCACTTTGCCTGTGTATTGACTTAAGTAATTTCCATGATAAAGTTGAACAAAGCTGGGTTAACTCATTCTAAGCACAAAGAATCAAGTTGAAATGCTACAGCAGTAAAATACAGACTTTATGCTAGATGGTTATAGAGCAGGAAACCGAAAAGTGTTATGGACTGTGAGACTAGAAATAAAATAAATTGTTAATGGGTTCCATCAGTACAGAAAGGACACAATGAAAGTTTCTTCAACTTTTTACCCATAGCGAGTCTAAATATAGACTTGTCAATCAACTTGATGGTGAACAAGTGATTGGATTAATTTAAATGTTACTGTTGATACCAAAGCATTGTCAAAATAAAACTTGTCAGTTGGAAACATCAGGTATAGGGGATCTTATTCTGAAGCCTAAAATGAACGTGTCAGGTAGAAGGGGCGCAGAGTGGGCAGGGTTAAGAATGATAGCTTTTCAAATAATACAAGCAGTGTGTTTTAGTTACATGTCTGAACACCAGGTCCTCACAGATTCCCAAATTTCTTTTCATTTTATGAAAACCATCCCTCTATTTTTGTAAAGAAATAAAATTGAATCATCTTAACTAAAATCATTTCACTATTTAAAAAGAATAGCTGGATCACTGCTGACCTTCTGTTTGGATCCCAGTGAATAGCCCTTACAGCAGCCCTCTCCACTCAGTGGTAGCTTTGTGGGTGCAGACTGTCCCATGAAAAAAGCAAGAAACAGGCAGAAGCATAGTCCTGTTTTACTCTATTAATCAACTACAAAAGGCCTGTGTGTATTGGAGGAGAGCAGGGAAGATGAGATTAAAGTGCAGTCCCTGTAAAAAGGTGTTCAGCAGTTCCTGTCACAGCACCAAGGCACTAGAGGAAAACAAAACCAAACCAAAAAGTGTTTTTCTGCAGCAATATCACTCTGCATTACTGCTGAAGTAGTCACTACCACCTATAGGCAGCAACATCTATTTGTGACATGCAAAATGCTTCACAGAAATGAATTGATCACACGTTACAGACAAAATGTAAATAGTCCACTTTGCAGCTGCAGAAACTGAGGCTAAGAGAGGTCCTCTTACTACCAAAAATGTAAGGAATCAATAACAGAATAACCAGAATTCAAATCTACAGATTTATCAAGTATGGTTTTTTTAATAGCCCTAAGATCACCTGGCAGTGAGGATATCCTGACATAACTGTATTTAACACCAGTGTATGTCTGTTGGGCAAAATCTATGCTACCCTTCCTTAGACGAGCATAACTGTGTATACTGTAGATTGCGTCATTAGTTTACTATCACAGTAGCATTATACTTGCAGTCATCTCAGATGACCTAATTTGGAAGAACTACATTTGGAACAATTATCTGCTCCTTTATATTCTTAAATTCTCCTTATATACTTAAATACTGACATTTGTTGTCAGTGTTATTGGCGAGCCTCTCAAGGTAAAGTGATACTTGTCTTAATACTGCGTGTGTTACTGAGATGATCTGTCTGCAGACCCTGGCACAGACAGGGACAACAGCAAGAAAGTAGCTCTGCTTTCTCTTTTGAATAGTTGTCTTTGTTCCAGGAATTCCTCAGGTTTTCACCAGCAGGATTTTGCCTTATCACTCCCTCTAACATTCACATCAGAGCACGGAGTGCTATCAGCACTCTCTCCTTTTGCCTCGAAAGCCATTTCTATTGTCCATCCATATAAATTTGGAAAGTTCACTGCATCTGCTTATTTATCTGGTGATATTTCTCTATGTATACTGTTATTAATGCATCTAACTGCCATTAAACATGTTACCTTTCTGTTTATGGGGAATGCTACCAACACAACTAACCACCAAGCTGCAGTTTCAAACCCCAGCCTAAAAAGACTGCAATGTGCTTATTTTTTAACCCACATGGCCTACTGCTGTCCTGAAGAGCACGGCCATCTGCTCATCAAGTACGGGATGGAATTCAATCTAAATATTTAACTGTCATACTGCAGGACTGGTCATTCATAGCTGTTACTTGACTTATCTGTTCTTTCAATATAAAACTTAATCGAGTTTAAGGATAGACACAAATAACACGTGCTAAAAAGTGACTTTGGCTCGTAGTGATTTAGAAGAACATCTAAATCACAGAAACCATATAGAAAACTTTGTATGTTACTGAATTAAGTCAGTGTTTAAAAGTTTTTTGCAATTAAACTACTTTATAATATATAGAAGCATATTGTCTTCAGGGGAACTTAGAAGCAACTGTAAATTCTCAGCTAGCTAAACCAAGAAATTATTCAGGAGAGAAAAGGTAATCTTCCCTGCTCCCCTACTGCTATGACCACTATAGAAAAAGAGAGGAAAAACCACAGTTTTTCCTCAATGACTGTTAAAGATAGACATGAGTTACACCACACTAGACAATAGTTACACTATTCTCCGCACTTTTATGTGTATTTGCAATACCTGCATTTCTCTAAAAAGTA